ATAAAATTGTATTTTAAAAAATTATTTCTTAAACTCTTAAACAAATGCGGTATATCATAAATTGAAAATATTTTATTTTTTTCCAATTCCAAAAATGGTTTTTTTACAAACATACCTAAGTTTTTTAACGAAGCCGTATTATTAGTACCTTGATCACAAACTATTGAAGTCACAAGTAAACCTATTTGTGACGCTTTTGAAATTACGTCTACAATTAAACTACTTAAATTTGTTTGATTCATAGAAGTACCAGATAAGAAATATGCCAAAGGTAATTTCCACCTGCCATATAAGCCTCTGGCAAGAAATACCATGGCTTGAGAAGCAAGATAATTAGAACGACCTTTATGTCCTAAATCTTCATAACCCTCAACACAATCTAAAAATTTAGAGTACTCAAGAAAAGTTTTGATTTTCATTTCATCAAATGAAATTACACAAAATTTATCTTGTTGGGACATAAGCCCAACTTTAATTTTTATGTGGTCAAGGTAAGCTGAATTAAAACCGGGTCGGAATTTAGAGTTACCAATCCATCTTTTTATAGATGTTACCCCAGGTAAAACTATACCTTGGCGGTCTCTTAAAAATTTATATGTTGTAGGAGATTTATAAAATAAATTTAAAGCAAAAGTTTTTTGAGCTCGCGAATAAATTTTTCTAGACTTATTATTACGAAACATTTGCATTTCAGCTAAAATTTTAGAATTCTTACTTGAATATTTAATTTTTTTTATGACTTGAACTTGGTGTCTTGAACACTTTAATTTGTTTCTTAATTTAGACACAAGAGAATTTTTATTTTTCAATAATTTTTTATGTTTTTGAATAATACATTTAAATTTTTTAAAAGATGTACCTGGACTAGAAATATTTGGACATTTTTGTTCATAACTGTTCTCCNTTGGACATTTTTGTTCATAATTGTTCTGCGATACTTTGTGAGAAACAGGAGTGGATGGCATTTCAGTTAAATTGTTTATGAAATTTCTAGTAGCTGGTGACAAAGTAGAAGTTGAGGGTGAAAATAATTGTTGTGCACATAAAGAAACTTTTGGCGATTCTGTTGGTGTCTTTTCTTGTTTTTTTTTATAAGTCCTAACTGGAGTTCAGATTTAGACAAATAAATTTTTTTCTCACTAAGATAATCGGAGGCTTCAAAATGATTACAACAAACATACTTATTATACAATTCATCTACAGATAAATTTAATAAACTGGTGTTTCCTAAAAAATATTTATCCATAATTAATTTAATACCCTTCATTGAAAACTAAAAAAATGTTAAAAATAATAAATTGATCTATAGTCGTAACCAAATCGACTCATCTAGTGTTTTAACATTATACATTTTTTGATAAAAATCAGTCTTGTAAATTTAAGTAACTTAAATTATTCATTACTTTAATTTCGTTATTTTACTGTAACGAAATTACGAAATTTAATTATTTTTATTTCAAGTAATTAATAAGTAATTTAATAACATTTATGAAGTAATTTCAAGATAATAATGATACTTTTAAAAGAAAAACAAATGTTCATAAAATAAATAACAATTCACGTGTATAACACCCAATATAGTCCATAAATTGTTCTAATTCATCATTTTAATAATATTTGATATTTTTATACCTAAGCGAGAGGAAGAGTACGGCTAGAAAATGTCTAGTTATAAAAAAATAGCTCTACTCACTCTTTACCTTATAGAATTAGATATTCCATTTAAAATGTGGCTATGACAAATATTGAGAAATAGAACGGTTTATAAGTATTATTTTTAATGGTTTAGTATTTGGTTAAAAATATAAAAATACAATTTTTTAAAATTATTCTACAGTGTACAAAAGTACTTTATACATACCAGAGTTTAATACCCATTGCATCGATCGATCATCCTTCGGGAAACGGTGGAATCTGAGATTTGGGTTTTCTCTTTTGTTTTTACCGCAATTAAAAAAAATACACTTATTTCCACGTTGTGTACTCATTGTTATAATTATAATTATACAGATAATAATACAAATAAATATATTAAATGGTAAAACCACGCAAAAGGGACCTTAGTCTTCAGTACTCTAGTGAAAATATGAATAGTGATTATGAAATAGGAAAGATTTTTTATTTAGTTGGATATTTTTACATTGATAGGTTTTAAAAACAACACAAAAATACAAAATAGGCATGATAATTCGTGTTACAATAAGATGTAAACATCGCTAATACATCCTGTTTTTAATGCAATTCCAAATATAATCCTGGCGCCGAGATATCGTATTATTAAATCGTACTCTTTTACGTGGTCTATAGTACAATTGTTTTACGATCTCTCATAAAGTGTTAAATTTTATTTTTAATCGTGTTAAGTTTGTAAGGTCACATGAATTCATGAAATTGGGCTTGTCAGAATCTATCATTAAAGTAAAAATGACCCATACTAATTATACAACTGGAATTATATCTCTAGCTATATATATGATCCTATAATAATTAAGAAAATGTTTTTATTGGAAGTTGTATAACATAAATCAAAGATAAATACGCAATCATACCGATTTTAAACACATCAGAAAAAGATATTTCGATTTCTATAAATAATATTAAATTTGATTTTTTAGCACAAGATTTCGTGCTCATAAATAATATGTAAATACTATCAATTGTAATAATGTTAATACTAATAATAATAATAGATTATCTCTTTTAAATCAAAACCTTAATTTAAATCATTTAAACAGTAAAGAAAAGTCGTCTATTAATAATTTATACAATCAATTTAATGATATATTAATTTTATCCGATGATAAATTATCTTATACTAATCAAATTGTACATAAAATAATTACTCCTAATGCTCATCCAATTAATATTAAACAATTGATACCCTATGTGTCATAACGAGGAAGTTGATAAACAATTAAAAAATCTTTTAAAGCAAGGTAGCATTGAAAAGTCAAATAGTCCATGGAACTCGTCTAGAATTCTAAATTTTATAAAGGAATATATATATATTATGTTTTGTCTGTTAATAAATATTTTTTTGATTTGTTTTATACTCTTTTTTTGTTATTTTCATAAAAATTATAAATTAATTGTTCAAAAAAAGAGTTATATGAAAGATTAAATAATCTGAATTATTTTTACCATGTCAGAAATATTTATTAACGATATTTTTTAAAAAGGCACTAGTATAGAATTTACTCAATACCTACAAAAAAGAATGAACCAATAAGTTAATACTTATTTGAGTCATTATGCTTTCTGTTTAAAATAATTTATAAAAATATTTAGAGATCAACAGTTTAGCTTGTACTGTAATACCACATTTTATAACGTGTATAACAATAACTTTAATTATGTGCATCATACATTCATTTAATAATTATTAAAGATTTAAAATACCACGTATATTTCAACCAATAGAAGCACTCAAAATTTACGCTATCTATCAGCACAATCGCCTGCGTCCAGCGCATCGTTTCCCTGCGTCCATTCATGATAAAAATTGGACTGCCAAAATTGTGTACGGCGTGGTCTATCTATGTGTATTTAATCTATGGTATTACTCTATCGAATTTTGTAATCAACTAGAATCTAATCAATGCACATTTCAATAAGTATCAATGATACTTGGTAGTTTGTTATCATTTGTTGGACCAGAGTTAAAAAAAAATTTATCTGCAATCACGTTTGGAGTAACTGCTATTCCATTTATTATTACGTCCAGAACGTTATCTTTTTCAAATAACGTTTTCTATGAATATAAAAATGAAAATACAGCCATAATAAAAACTGTATTACTCAATAGTAATCACAAATTAATAATAATTTCAATGTATATAAGGCCTAGTACGTTATTGATAGTTCGTAAAAATAATTGATTTTTGTGATAGTAATCGTGGGTAATAAGCCAAAAAAGTTCCTTAGCTCCTTTCCATTCGTACAAATCCTTCGTACTCCAATATTCTATACACTAAAAAGATAACATCAAAAGTTTGGATCAATATAAATTTGATTTGTAGTAAAATCATTAACATTATTCAAATTTTTTGAAAAAAAAAAAAAACATTTTTCTCCTATTATTTTATGAAATAAAAAAAAAGTTTAATCACATTTGTGTATACTTGACTTCCCATAAAACTTCGTTCTAAACAACGTGTCTATCTAATCCAAACAACCTTGAAATATAAAAAATGTATATCTATATCTATATGAAGTCTTAGAACTATAATAATTTCAATATTATTATGTCATAGATGCTTTAGTAATGACTTGGTCTACCCTACTGTTCAGCAACTGACGAGGACTCTATTTTTGAACATTTCGGGCTATGAGTGACAAATAGCAATTATAAGATTAGGACTCAAACATGATGTAGGTTGACACAAATGTTTGTTTTCTTTGACCATGTAGTAACTGTCATAAGTCTTACAATAATAAGTAACATTTTCATAAATCGAATATAACTTTTTAGCAAAAATATTTTGGGGGAAATTCTAAGCGATTTTTTAAAGAAAACTTAAATATAAAATTGATGATAAAATTTACCTGCAAAATAGTTTTTTAACAGGTGATATAAATTTATAACACAATTTATAATATATATAAATAACAAGTCATCTTGTATAATAAATAATTACACTTAATAATTTTTTGGCACAAGTAGTTATCATGTAACACTCTATTATCATAACTGTATATAAACAATAGTATAATTTTATATTTTTAACTTAATAAATGAGAAATAAAATTTTGATTATTATAACAAAGAAATATAAAATAGATTTTTCTTTTTAATAAAGATTTACATAAGTATGGAGAAAAAAATTAAACAATCAACATAAATAAAAATTTTAGTTCTATGACACTATAATATCTTAGTAGTTTATATTTTATATCAATGAAGTGAGTTAAATTATTAATCATCTATAAAGAAAATTTAGAACAAATGAAAAATTCTAAATATATGACAATAAGTTTTAAGATTTCAAGATAACTGAATACTTAAATAATTAGGCTAAAATAGATTTTAGTAAGATGAAATTAATTATAATAGTTAAGAATGTTTTTAATGAAATACATAAAAATATTTAAAAATGATACAAGAATAGATTAAAAACAAATGTAATAACAATAAGTTTACAAAAAGCAAAAAAATTATTGGAGGGAAATTTACTGATTTCTACTACCTTCAAATAATAATAAAATGATTATCAATATATTTTATGTAATTTAGAATTATGTTTTATTAGAGTTTTGTTCTTATTAAATGAATTATAATTATCTTTAGACTCATTTAACAAATTCAAACTTGTTTCGTGACTACATGAAGTCAAATGAATTTTGGATAGCTGTGTTGATGGGGTTAATGTTTCCAAACTAGATTCGTTTTTTTTTAAATTTTGCGCAGGACTAACCATTGAAGAAATTATTTCTTTGAATACATTTGAATTTTTGTTAAAGCTTAATGCTCGACTAAATTTTAAACGAGTTTTATTAGCAAACCTGCAATAAAAAAGACATATTTTTTAATTATTAATATTTGTCATTGAATACTTCAAAATGATTATAAATAAAATTTTCACAAAAATAAATTAAATGCTTAATTGTGTTAACCTTTATGTAATATACAATGTAAATAAAAGTGCAGAGTAATAACTCAATATTTGGACCACTTAAAATTTTAAATGGCCTTCTGAAAAAAAAATAATATGCGTGTATAAAATTCTTAAAAATAGCCTGCAAAATATATATACAAGTTACCGAGTGAAAAAAACTATATACTCATTTTAGTATAATCTCTGAATGTATTGGTAAATCTCTTCAATGAAAATAATTATTTTAATTTATTTAGTAGTAATAAACAAATAAAATTTGTATATGAAACTACCCCCGTCAAATTTATAATAAATCTATGCTAGGCAGTAATTTATAGCTTATGCAAATCACTAAGTCTATTTTAATAATCAATAAATGACTTATTATTTGAAGTTAAAAAGTGAACAATTATTTACAAAAATACATACCTGAAAGCTTTTTCTAATGTACCAGTGGAAATTTTATTTGTATTAATATCTAATTGGTTAGAATCCAAAGAAATCAACACATTTCGCTAGGTAACATATAAAAAAAATTAAAAAATTAAAATATAAAAATATTTAAAAATATCTTTTACTATAATATTAAATTTAACATTAATGAAGTTCAGGTTTGTATACATTATCATATTTTAATTGAACACATATTGTTTATGGGAGTAAATGGTGGGATAATTATAATAACTCAGTGTGACATAGTGGATACTTCAGATGCTGTCAAACTCTAAAGCTAACTTTTTCCAGTTGCTATTAGTTGTCAGATGGGTTATCACAAGTCAATTTTATTAGTGACAAACACTATATTCCTTAGTACAGAAGGCAAGTAGAAAATAACTGTATTTATTAACTACCTAGAATACATTAGTTCAATTTTTTAAATTTATCTGGTGTTAATCAACCTAATGATAAAAAAAAAGGTATATTTTATGTTCTCTCTTAAAAGTTCTTGCTATTGTCAGAAAGGACAAAAAAACCTACATGAACCAGAGAAACGAAATCGAAATATTACACCAAGACATAATGCTTTACAAACTGAGTTAGGAAAGATAAGGCACTTAGATACATATTAAGTCAGATTTAAATAATTAGTAATTCTTACTGAACAATTAGTAATAGCCACTTGTTGGGAAATACTATTTAAAACTAAATTTTTGTAGTTAAGGTCATAATTACTGCTTTCAATAAAAGCAAAGGTACACAAACATTCTTGAAAATCTTGATTTTCAATAATCAACAAAGAAAATACATTTTGAAAACCTGAAAATAGTTATAGCAGTTATCAGATTTATTTTATTTTAATATATATTCTTATATGACTAAATTAATTGAAAAAGTTGAATACAAATGAATCATGTAAATTGAATGAAAAGTTTTGAAAAAAATGCAGTCAAATGTTTACGCTATTATAATTTTTACCTATAATTTACTACAATAAAAGCATTCTAGGGAGGTTAACAATCTTCATATATAAGGAAAAATTCTGTACATAATACACAAATACTAAGCACAATCAATTATGATTATTTTGCCATTAAGAATAATTGTTCCTAAAACAAAATAGTTTTTGATACTGAAATCTTGATGGTTATTTAAAATTTTGTTATATTTAATAGGAAATTAATAGATACATTTTTTAAGGTTAAGAAGGTATCCCTTCAGTGAATATAGAAATATTTTTTAGAGAGGAGAGAAGAGTTAATTTTTCTTAAATTAGCACTCCAAAAATATTTTACTAGTTGATAACACTGCAGTATTTAGTAAATACTAAATATAATGAAGACATTGAAAATTATGCACTAAGCGGACATCAGTTACATTTATTACATTTTTTATATTTACAGGTCTAAGTTTTAAGTTATTAATTTGAAGTTTTATTTGTGAAAAGTAGAATTTATTTAGTTCTACGATTTATAAATATTTACCATCAGTTTCTTTAACATCAATTACTTGTTTAATAGAGTTCAATGATATAAGTTTGATATGTTTGTATAATTTTGTAATATTTCCTTTATTAAAGCCAGAATTAAATTCTTTGGGACTCTTAACATCAAGTGATCTTCTTTTTTTAGTGAACTATTTATAAATTAATTTGAGTTAATAATGTATATATAAGTTATTGTTTATACTATACATATCAATACCTCTAAAGTATCAGAAAATAGAAATATTGTCAGATGATCACCACGCCCAGTTATATTTTCACTTAGTTCAATTACATCATACCTTGCAATAAAATTTCTACTTGACGAAACTAGATGAGCCTAAAAAAAAAAAAAATAGTTTGTTGATAATACAAAATTAAAAAATTTAATTAACTTACTGGACAGTTGTCAATTTCATTAAATATGTCAAAAAGAGCTACTTGACCTTCAGTTTTTCTTTTATCTTCATTAATAAATGTCATTACTTCTCGAATACTTTCTAAAGCTAGTTTTAGGGCTTTGTGATCGGGATTTATTTTGTCGGTATGCTTTAAAATATCTGAAAAACCAAATTAATAAAAACATTAAATAATCTTAATATAATATAAATGTGAATATTGTGTCATTTTTAAAATGAAAGTGTTAGAAATAAAAAAAAAATTCTGGTTTTATATGTTACTTGCAATACAAAATTTAAACAAATCAAAACTATTTAACACCCATTAAATTATACTTAGATTAAATTAGCTTTGTATTCTAATTAAAAATAATATGTAAGACATCAACCATAAGTAATATTTTTATTTATAATTTGAGAGTTTTTCACAACTAAATAGTATTTAAACAGAAAAATATAAAATCAAATATAATGGTGATCGGTTTATGATAAGCCATTTATCATAAACCACTTGATTACTCAAAAAGTGAATACAATATTAGAAAAATAATTTCTTTCAGTTACATATAAATCTTGATTTATCAGTTAATAATTATTTCATAGATTCCTCTCTTATAATTTAAAGGTTTCTGAACTTCATTTTTTTAAATGGCACCATACATTTTTAACTAGCTTATGAAGTAGGAAATAATGTATATACAGAGTGATTCACTTGTCGAAAAATAAAAATAAAATCAATAATTTTTTTACTGATTTCTTATAGTTTAATGTTTCTGTCTATTTTAATCATTAAGATTTAATTTTTCAAATAGCAACACACATGATATACTAGCTTATTTATTAATGATCTAATAGAGAAAATGACTAGTCAATAACAACTTTTAGAGCAGTATTTCAGAAGTTATTAGCAATTTAAAGTAACGACTAGAGAGTAGGAGTGGATGCTGCAATTTTTATCACTAGTAATTTTTGGAATACTCTTTATGCCACATAGGTATAAAAATGAAAATAACATCCAAAGTACTGGTTTAAAAGTTGTGATTGACCAGTAATTTTCTTAATTAGATTATTTCCTATTTTATAATCTAGTTAAATATATATGGTGTCATTAAAAAAAATAAAATTGATAACTTTATAAGCCATAAATTAAGAATTATATGTAGTTAAAAAAAATTAAAAATAATTTTTCTAATAGCGTATTTATTTTGTGAGTAGTCGAGAGGTTTATGATAAAATGTACACCCTGTATAGTACAATAAGAACAATATTAGTAAATTAAATAAACTTTATCATTTTTAAATATAATTGTTTGGGTTCCTGGGCCTTAGAAAAAATTTCCTCAACATTTTCCTAACTTATCTTAATTTATAGATAATCTGATAAAAAATGCTTTAACTTTTATAATAATAGTACTTTTTAATTAAATATGTTTTTATATTTGAAATTATATTTGTTTCACTATACAATTTTATTATTGTTATTAGATTCAATGTGAAGCTTAGAAGGTATTAGTTTTATTATGTTGTGTTTTTTTTTTTTATATCTGTTACCATTTTTTCTCAGCTCTCACCGACCTGATTTCTTTTAACGATATATCACAAATCGTATCTGATCGTAGACATCACACTCAAAAATTGAAAAAAATTCCCTCGTTCCCCGTAAATGAGGAAACCTCCAAAAAAATTACAAATTTAAAAATCGCTAATTTTNGTTATTCAATGATACGTCAAAAGATCACAAATCGTAACTAGTCGAAGACATTACCCTCAAAAATTGAAAAAAATTCCCTCGTTCCCCGTAAATGAGGAAACCTCCAAAAAAATTACAAATTTAAAAATCGCTAATTTTCGAAATTTTTTAAATTTTTTTTACTTAAAATTACTATAACTTTTTTAAAAATAACCGAATCAAAATAATTTTTTTTATAGATATCTTAGGTATTTACCTATCATTTTATATATTTTTGTGAACATTTGACCATTTACCAGCCCACAGGAAGGGTTTCAAAATGGCAACTTTTTCACAAAAAATTAATTTTTTCAACTTGACTTTTGAAAATGTTCCGGAAAGTCTCAGATTTTTATATATATCTTAAATTAAGAATAATGTAATATACATTATTATGGAAAAATATATTTTCGAAGTTTATTTTGTTTTCACTGGGAAAATGGCTACCAACTACTATTTTAGTGTAAAAATTCTCGATTTTATATTTTACATTTTTAACTTTATTATGCTATAATATTTTGAAAAATGTAATGATCAATACAATTTTATGAGAAATGATATTTATATCCCTCTTTCATTTGACATTCATTCATTTTTTTTTAAGTAACGCCATTTCACTTTATACATTTATATATAATAAATAAATAAACAAATAAACAAATATATATATATATNGAGCTAATGTAGTGCACTTTATTATGGAAAATAAAATTTCGGACTTGCGAATTGAGCTAAAAGTTATGGTAATAAATTTATTATTTTTTTTTTTTAATATAAACTTTCACTTTAAAGGACGAAAAAAAGTTGGTTAAAAATTATTACTTTTAACATATTAAAAATCAATATAACTTGAAAACAATTAATTATAAAAAATATATAATATATAAGTAATAAAGAATTACTAATCTGGATATAATTAAGGAAGTAGAAGTTGTTGTTGCTTTTGTAATTATTCCACAATTTTTTAGAATTAAACACTATCTACAGATTTGCATCGAAGCGTTTCTTATGATTGTGATTTTAATCACTGTCAGATTAAATCTATACTGGANATATAAATAAGGAAATCGTGTAGCTTTTGGACTAATCCAACAATTTTTTAAAATTAAACATTATTTACAGATTTGCATCGAAGCATTTTTTATGATAGTGATTTTAATTACTGTCAAATATCATTATACTTAATCCAACTATGCCACGTCTCCATGTCTCCAGCAATCGTGCCGCGACCCATTATTTTTTTTGGGTCGCGATGTTATTATTTTTTTTTTTTTAGGAAGCATTGTTGGTAAATTCACAAAATAGGTAAAACNAACTATGCCACGTCCTCACTGTGCTGGGTTTTTTTTATATTTATCTGTTCATTACCATCAGTCATACTCAATGACTGTCTGAAAAAATCATCTATTGTTTTTTTTATTATAAACTTTCACAGAAATCAACCATAAAGGATTAACAAAATAGGTTAAATATGTAATTTTTCATATTTTTAACATATTAATAATTAAAATCAGTATTAATTTAAAAAATAAGTTTTAATTTTATATATGTTTAAAGGACGCAGTATTTCCGGAACATTTTCAAAAATTAAGTTGAAAAAGTTATTTTTTGTAAAAAAGTTANCCTAAATCATATGGTATATGAACATTCTTTCATCAATTACCAGAATTATAGTCATTGTATTTACTTGAATGCTGTAAAAGGCAATTTTTATAACTCTTGTTACTCATTTATTTACATTTATGTAGATGCAATATTTTTATTTTTAATTATTTTATTTGTTTTTGACTTTTGTTACCAATTATACTTAATAATCAAGATATGATAATTAAATTTATTATTAATATTCAAGTAAAAAGCTATTAAGTAAAATAATGTATATAATTTTAATTTTAACAATATATTTTTTGCTTAGTTATTTAATAACCTATAATCCTGATACCCCCGTAAAAATTATATTAATCTTGCTCAACATTAAAAAAATGTCAATCTGAACAATCCTACTTTTAAATATAGTTGACAAACCATTCAAAAGAAGACTGATACTAGGTAGCCTTTGAACAGGTCGAATGAGAAGTTCTTGAAGACTCTCTCTACAACATTCTGGTCGGGTTTGTCCTACTTTAAGAAATGCATGAAAACGAGGTTTAGTCTGGTCACAATGTAAAAGCATCTCTCTTTTCTTTTCAAAATAATTTATGTAAGGAGGATAAGCTCTCAATAAATCTTTAGACTAAAAAAAAAATGAACTAAAATAAATTATTATTGATAAAGTAAAATATTCAAAACTTACAAATTCAATTATGATATTTCCTATGCAACTATTTTCTTCCCAAGTTTTGGCAAGTTGTTTAATTTTTTTTAACATATCACTGTGAACTTCATAAATAGGTAAAATATCTCCAAAAATTATTTTGATCTCAGTATTATTAAGATATTCTTCTTTCTCAACCATAGTCTCCAATGGAATTTTGTATAACTAATATTCAAAAATGATAAATTTACTAAAGAATGATAAGAATTTTGTGAAAGTTAATACTAATTGTTGTATTAAATTAATATTTTTATTATAATAAAAAATGTTTAATTTTTTATCAAATTATTCAAGTGTAAATTTAATTTTAAAAATGTTTATTAAAATTAATTATAATATAAATATTATAATAATTTTATAATTAATATTGATTATAAAAACTCTATTTGAGATAAAAATAAATAAATATAACACTTACAGAAATTATAGTATTTAAAATGCCAACATAATTAGTTTCAGTTTGCAACAATTCAGTGAAAATCTGATAGCGTGGGCTTAAATTTTTACCTAATATAAAATATTTTACTACTTTTTAAAATTTGATATTTTTTTATTGAAACATTAACAAACCTTCAGATTTAGTATAAGTTGAGGTATTAGGATTACTTATAAGTATTCTGCAAGATAATTTTGGATTATCATAATTGTTAGTCAACATAGGAAATTGTTGTATAACATCCGGTTTATATATTGATGAAATATTTTCATTTGAAATTGACTTATGAATTTTTGCTGTCAGATTGCTGATGTTGTCGAGTTGTTTTTTTCTTTTTCGTGTGTAATAAGGAATTTCTAAAGTAGATGATGAAATCATACTTATCTAAAGTAAAAAATACAGATATATATGTACTAATGATTCAACATTAGCCACTGAATTTCTCTAGAATTAATAATTTTTTTAGTTACAAGTGAATCTCCATTAATCCGTTATAAAATATTTTTAAATTCATTCCTTGTCTTATAAGAGTATTAACTTTATTTTAGCTTCGATGCAAAGCTGAGAAGGTATTAATTTTACGGTTTTTTTTTTGTCTGCCTTTATTTTTTCTTAGCTCTAACCAGATTCTGATTATTTTTAACTACACATCAAAAGATCACAAACCGTATCTAATTAAAGATATGTCCCTTAACTGAAATATAAAATGTATAAATATAAATAAAATTAAAATGTAAAATTTTTCGAAGTATATTTAACCTTTTTTTAAAACTATTATAATTTTGAAAAAAGAATAAATATCTTAAGTATTTCCCTTTGATATAATTTTTTTAAAAACTTGTTATTTTACCAGCTTATAAGAGGGATTCAAAATAATAACTTTTTAAATTTAAGTTTTGAAAATGGTATGAAAATACTCAGAGCTTTAGACATATGTTAAAATAAAGCTTATGTGTTGTATTACAAGTTCAAATAAAAAATGACTTATGTAAAATGGCTGCTATAGTTAAAAAACATGAAATTTTTGTGTTAATTTTAATATTATTATATTACTTATTATTTATATTTAATATTTTATTTCTATTACTTTATATTGATATAACTTTTAAAAAAATGTATGGATCAATTAAAAATTTTTTTATAAATACTTTATACATATATTCCTTTTATTCAAATACATTTTTTTAAACTTATAGTATGTAACATATATGCCATGAATAAAGGAAAAAAAATTATCCCTATGACTTGTCTTCTATAAGTAAACAGCCCCTGAAGTTAAACAAAAAATTTTATTTTTTATAGACGTTTGCCATAGAAGTAACAAAATATATAACTAAATTATATTTTTTAATAATTTCTTTGTAAAATTTACAATATTATATTATTGAATATCAATTTCATACTAAGATTAATTCATACTACAATTAAAACTAATTATTAAGTATTTATTTATAAATTATACTTATAAATCAAAGAACTAATAATCAATATGTTATTAAGGAAATAAGAATTGATGTTGATTTTAGAATAATCCACCAATTTCATAAAATTATATACTATGTACACATTAGCATCAAATCATTCCTTATAATAGTGATTTTAATTACTATCAAATATATCATCTATACTTGACTCAATTATGCTACATCCTCAATGTGCTACCATTTTTAAAAAATAAAAATATACATATTTAACTAAATTATAAAATAAAAAATGACAACTGATAAAAACATTTAGACTAGTATTTCAGAAGTTATTGACATTTATTATATCTTGGTGAGAGGAGGAGTGAGAAATATCTAGTTATAAAAATAGCAGCTCATACATCTCATTTCTAGTCATTACTTTAAATTGTCAGGATGAAGGACGGCATATGAGATGAATATAAAAAATATTTTATAACATATAAATGGAGATACATATGTAACTAACAAAAGTAAAAAAAAACTATTATTTTGAGAGATATTGAGTGGAATCATTAAAAAAACTCACTTGTATGTTTAAAAAAATGTACTAACAAAATATTTATTTTACATATATTCTATAGAGTTGGAATTAAAAAAAAGCCAACCTGGACACTTGCTCAGTGCCTCGCAAAAAAAATATGACTGAAAAACTACATTTTTGTTTATACAAGAGAATATATATATATATAAACTTCATCTACAACATCATCATTATATTAATAAACAATATTTAAACTAAATTTTTAAGGGTAGATATATAAGTTTAAAATATTTTTTTAACTCTAAATATAAAATAAATATTACAAGTTGTAATACAGAAAAGAAATTCAGTTATTTAGTCAAAATGGCATTATATACAAGTTTTCAACATATTATTTTCCATAATATGAAACAGTATGTGTTTAATAAAATGTATTTTTACGGATAATTTTAACTCAACTAAGTATTCTTACATTATTTATACAATAGTCTTTTACAAAACCACAACTCTGATATTGGACTGATGTCCAAAACCATGATTCTTTGACAATTTCTGTATTATTTTTTGTAGTTAGATCAGAGTTTTCAAAAGACTCATTTACTACCTAAAAAACAAAATAAAAACTCATTAAAAATCAATGTTTATGTATTAAATTTCCATTACAAAAAAAGTTACACCCCTATACTAGATGAAGGATGAACCCAAAAAATAATTCATAATGGATATATTAAGAACTATGTGTAATTAAAAATTATAAAAAAAAACACTAAAATAAAACACACAAGTTTAGTTTAAGCTGAGGATAATTAAAATTTTAATTTTAAAATTAAAGTGTCTATTAATAGCAAAATACAATTAATAACACCAACAATTATACATGTTATAAAATTTTTTAGATTTATTCAAATACAAATACCAATTTTTGATTTGAACATCCTAAACATGATATTAATGATTTAGTATCCATGTAACATTGTCCATTGCCATTAGTAAAACGCTTTTTTTTGTTTTCTGATAGAATATTACTATCAGATACACTGAGTGTTCTTTTAAAGCTATCATTTTTAACATTGGATTTTTCAGAATTAAGTTTTTGTATTTCTAATGATCCCATTAGATTTTTAGAACACAGAATTTGTAATCTTGAAATAGAACTAGGTTTCTTTGTAGGAGTATTAAGTGAAAATTCAAAAACTTCTTTTGTAACCTGATTTTGAAAATAAAAAACACAAAACATACATGAATATAATTAATATCATATTTGATAGGAACATAGATAAGTCATATAAATATTTGGAAAAAAATTTTGATTTCAAATTAAAACCAAGAGTTAAAAGAAGGGATAACCAGTTTCTCTTAAAAAACTAATAACTAAAACTTTTTATTAAATAAAAAAAAATTTTAATTTAATTTTAATTTCTTTAAAAAGTATAGATATTAGTTAAACCATTAATTTATTATTCAAACTAATGCATATTTATTTGTCATTTCAAATGAATCAAAATTGATTATCCCTTGAAAAAATAAAAATTTATTGCAAAATTTCAGAACATTGTAATGGTCCCTTTTTGAACTTTCAATGAAAAGCTTCAACACAAAATAAATGTATGCATCTTAGAACTTGACTAATGCAAATCACACAATATTAATTTTTCAGCTTTAAAACTAAAAGAAATAACATTTAAATTTCGTAAAATAAAATTAGTATTTGAATAAGCAGGTATGCATTGAAAGCTTTGATTATTACATATAGATTATTCATATTATTTATGTAATAAATTTAATTACTAGTAATTTTTTTAATTTTATTAGTTACAATACAATTATTACAATACATTGTAATAATTGAGGCTTAGCAGAGGTAAGTAATCTAAGTAATGAAAATTTAAAAAACAATTTTTATTACATCAAATCTGTATTATATTAATCTGTATATCCATGTCAATACTGTAAAAAATTAAACTTCAATAACTAATTATAAATTATAATAACAAGTATTCAATGATAAATCTGCTAATGATTCTTTATGGAAAATAGAATAGTTTTTATTGATTTCCCAACAAAAACTTTTTGATACTTAGACTACTTGATCTTGCTATATCTCAATTATTATTGTTATATTGAAGTCATATATTCTCTCTCTTATGGTTGTTACAGAGGAAAGGAAAACCTGCAAAGTCTAATTAAACCCTATCCCTGAGGCACAACATGTACAAAACTGAGCTAAATAGGCTAATTAAAAAATATAAATGATTAAGTTTAGTCTTGAACATAAAATTTTTATATTATTATAAGATGATTTATGATAATGATGAGTAAACTAATAAGGTAATTTATTAATGATAATTCATGTATGCTAAGCTTTGAGAATAAAATTCAAAAAAATAAAAATAAACTAACAATAATGAAAAAAAAAATTATCATTTTTAATTTATATTAGTTATTTTCTTAAGTAATATCTAAATGTTATAGTTTCATAAAAAATTATACAATTAATGCAGTGTTAATATAGGCATAATAATGTAATTAGTAAAGTATAATCATGCTATAAGCAATTTTAAAATAAAAATTATATAAAAAATAATTATAAACCAATTTATTAATTAATACATAGAATATATCAAGTTTTTCATTGAATGTTAATTAAATTTTAATATGAGTAAATAACATACCAGTCCTAAAGCAGTGTAGTTTAAAAAATATTATATACTTACTAAATGAGTACATTCTGTGTTGTTTTCATTAACAGGAGTGCCTCCATTTTGTATTAAAACATCATTTAAATGTAGTTTTTCTTCCTCTGTAAATCCTATAAAACCAATTTTGGCCCCATGAAATGGTTTTAATTTGTGTTTAGAGATCTATTTTGAAATATCAACTGTAATATTAATAACATAATGCAATATTTTTAAAAAATCATACAAAAGACAAATTAGTAGCTGAAAAATCCAATTCATTTCGTCTTTCCCAGGCTTCATAAAGCCAAGATGAATGAACAACAGGAATTTCATGTAAATAGGCATACTGAGACTTAGCACTACATGCATAACCTGATACTAAGAAAGTAGTTTTATGGTTAATATTTTCTCTAAAACGCCCACCCATCCAACGTATTAAACATAGTAAATGAGCCTATAAAATATCAAGTAAGAATTATATTCAAAAGAAATATGATATATTACAATAAACTAAGAAATAATAATTACCATTTCTTCTTTTCTCTGGATACCAGTTATACTGACAATAGCACCAACTAAAGAGTTGCAATATCGATGTCTATAACCTCTATATAAATTAGAAGGATTAACAGCTAGTTCTAATAATGCAGGTCGTCCCAGTATTCTATGATAATAAAAAATAAGGTTACATAATAATATTTTTACTTAATATATAATAGCTATTCATTAAAATTTTTAATAATAACAAGTTTTGTTGATCAAAAGCTTTTTCAATATTTTTCTCATTGTCATTGATAATACAAAAAGTAATATTCACAAAAATAAAACTTTTGATTAATACAATTATTTTTATAAGAGATTCTCTTTTAATACAGTATATAAAACTTCATTTTATTATTAGCATTATTGTATATTATTTATTGATATTTAAAATGTAATCTATTTGTTAAAACCGGCAAACCACCTAATATCTTTCTAATGTTTCATTTTAAATAATTTCAAATTATATAAAAAAAGTTCAATATATTTTCTTTTGATTAAATGATTTTAAGAACAATGAATTTCAAAACAATAACCCTTCTCTTTAAAAAGTTATAATTTTAGTTACATACTATAAAATTAATTAACAACATATTTACTTGAAACCAGGTCTTTTAACTGCTAATTGTTCAAACAGCTGAGTAATGTACACATCATTTTTTTTTAAAGCCATTGTTTCAGATGAGTCTTCTAAGAATTTTATTTCAGTGTTAAGTTTCTAAACATATAAATGAAATATTTAACAATTAAAATATTGAAGGTATAAAAAATAATATTTTAAAATACAAACTGCTGTAAATTACTGAAATTTAATTTATATATACTCAAAATGAAATTTGAACATAATATTCAGGAGAAATAACTTAGGGGCATACAATAGATAATTTAGTCGCCCCTTTAGAACTGATGTTCAGTTGCACTGTTTGCTATAAGTTTCCAGATGGTTGATCATACAGGAATTTCAACAAACACCTTGCCCCTTTCCCACTCCCTCAGCTATAAAGAGATTGAGCCACGTTGACAGCTTGTGTCAAAATTTTGTCAAATTGTTGTAAGGTAGAGAAGACCCAAAAAACTGGAATACAGGCTAAGGAGATGATGATTTGGAGAAACTAGCTTATATTTTCTCTTTAAAATTTTTTTTTATAAAAATTTACATATAATTTTTACAATTTTTGGGGGCTAAACCCCCATTTAAACTTCTTAAATTTCACCTTTTCATGTATCTCAACTTTTTCATTTTTTTTTTTATAAATATATATACAGGGTGATCAGCACTCACTGATAACTTAAATAACTTTTGATTCAGCTAATATTTTTAGCTTCGATGCGAAGCTGAGAAGGTATTAATTTTACTATGATGTATTTTTTTTTTGTCTTCACGGTGAAAATGGCTACCGTATGCTATTTTTGTGTGAAAATTCTCGATTTTATATTTTACATTTTTAACTTTATTATGCTATAACATTTTGAATAATGTAATGATCAAAACAATTTTATGAGAAATGATATTTATAATCCTCTTTCATTCAACATACTTTTTTTTTAAATAACACCATTTCCCTTAATGCGGGGGGAGGGGTTCAAATCTATACACTTACAAATCATAAAACTTGTAATCAGGATAAAATAAGGAATTAGAGATCATGTAGCTTTTGGAAGAAACCACCAATTTTTTAAAATTAAACACTATCTAAAGATTTGCATGTAAGCGTTTTTTTTTATAATGATTTTAATCACTGTCGGATATCATTATACTTGACCCAACTATGTCACGTCCCCACTGTGTTGGATTTTTATTATAAATAGTTAAATGTTAGGTCTATAATTATATCTGAATAATTATTTTTTTTATATTTTATTAAAAGTATTGATCATTTTCAAGTTTTAAATAAAATGTAAAAAAAAAAATTTAAGACAGCTATTTTTTAGAGACGATTTTAAGAAAAATTTTGGTAATATTGGTATTAATATTCAGTAGTAAATATTTTGTAGCATTTTGAAGTTTGTGAAAATTTTAATTTTCATGTATTATTTTACAATATTAAACATTAAAATACGTGTTCAAAAAAGAACAGAAAAAAAATATCTTCTCATGATTACTGTAATTTGGAGGCGTGTAACTTTTTCCATGAAAATTACTTACGCTTTTGAATCAGAGTGATAAGTAATAATCGCCTTATCAAATTTCTCATCATCGTATTAACAACTTTGTAAATATAATAGACCTTTTTACTTAGTATAATATAAATCTCTTGATAAATAAATTCTAATTTTAATTAGAATAAGTAGTTTTATCTCTAAAGAGATAAAATTACTTATTAATAGGTATAATTCGTGTTTTTATGTAAATTAAAGCAAGTCATTAGAACGTCAACAATTTTCATGGAAAAACCCATACACAAATCATATTTAGTGTGAAAATATTGTTTACTTCTGTCCTTTTTTTAAAAACATAGCCATCGTTTGATACCGTAGAATAAATACAGAAAAATGTTTAATGATACAGAAAATCAACTACAAAACATTAATAAGAAATGTATTCACCAAATTATTTCTTAAAATTTATTTTTAATAAAATGGCTATTTCTTCTTCTTCTTTCTCACCTTAATCCCAGCTACTTGGGAGCGGTAACTTTTATCCTAAACTTCCACTTGACACCCCGATCTCCCACATCATCTACGCTCACATCAGCTGTCCTCATATCGCATTCAATAGCATTCCTCCATCTCTTTTTTGGCCTTCCTCTACATCTTCTTCCTTCAACATTAATTTCTATAACTTTTCTTAAAGCTTCCGATTCTTCTCTCTTCATAACATGACCAAACCATCTAAGTCTATTTTCTCTCATCTTTTTTACGATTGACACTACAGTGTAGTGACTACACCTATCTCCCTCCTGTACGTTCGTCACTCCAAAATTAAAATAATTGTAATAATAAATTTGATAAAAGTGACAGTGCAACCACTTAAATAAGAAAAAACCAAAATATTTATTTAGCACTTACATTATTTTGGCATTTATATATTATTTAATATAATCCATACCTGTTAATTACTGTCATTTACAGCATGAATTTAATCAATATAGTATATAAATATATATAATAATATATACAGTAATACACTATAGTTATAATGTTGTAAGAAGAAGAGGTAAAGGAAGACCAAAAAATATATGGAGTGATGTTATTTAATGCAATATGAGGACAGCTAATGTGGGAGATCAGGTAGAAGTTTAGGATAAGGGTGGCCAACCTTAAGTAGTTAGAAGAAAGGCAAATTAAAGAAAAAAGAAGAAGAAAGAGTATATTATACAATCATAATATCAATAAAATTGCTAGAAATATCAATTCTATTTTTCAGCATTATAACAAAGTCATTTTTAAGAACATAGTGTTGACACTTATTTGGCATAGAGCAATTAAAGTTAAAAAAGTTTATAAAAATAATAAAACTTTAACATTTAAAAATTCTATTGAATATACATTTATATATGTTAAATATATAATATATATATATATACAAGTGTTTTCTTGATATGAATCAATTAATTAATTGAAAATTAATAATATTACTCATTATTTTACTGATTTCTTTTAGTTCAACATTTCTCTCTGTTTATTATTCATAAAGATTTTTTTGTTTATTCCTTATATCTTATAAGGGTGTCAACCTGAATTTTTTTAATAGAAACACACATAATTAACTAGCTTATTTATTAGATAATGATCTAATAAAAGAAAAAACTTTGATTGAAAAATTGAAAGAAACAAATAAAGAAGTTATTGATATTATATTTATTTTTTGATTTATTAAGTTGTTCATGATAAATGAATCACTCTGTATATTATTTATATATATATATTATTAAAAACAATGTAGGTCCTTCTAATATATATATATATATATATATATTTACCTCCACAACATTTAAAACTTGAAAGTCAGATGAAAAAGATTTTTCTAGATATATGTTTGGGGATAATAAAGATTTTTCAGATTTTGATTTAGTTCTACCTGAAAAATAAAATTAATAATAATTACCAATTAATATATATATTTTTCTATCTAAACAATTTAAATTAGTAACAGAAACTGACAAATTTAAAAATGTATTAGATTTCATTAGATGTAATAAAAAAATTAAATCACCATTCAAATTTTGCATACATAGTTATTGAAGATCATATAAATTAACATATACAACTAGACAAATTCAAATGCTAATACTATACAGTGAATCTGGATAACATCCATAGATTTTAACTAAAATTTATATGTTCACCATTTAGATAAGTTTTTGCATAAATAAAAATTTTAGTTAAGTACATCTGACAAGTACTAGAATATATAAACAAAAATAAAATTATTGAAAGATTTCTATTTTTTAACTATAAAAACTATTATTGTAATAACTTAGAATACAAAGTAGATTCTTTTTTAATTTTGAGATACTGGCTACCAATCTAGTAGTTAAAATTTCGAGATTTAATGGATTAATTTTTAAAATTTGAGAAAATTGGATATGGTTTTTCTTTGTTAATAAATTAAAATATATAATGTATCAATAAAAATTGTTTAAATAAAGATTAAAAAACCTAACAAGAACACAAAAATCTTAACAAAATGAGGTTTATTAGAAAAACAAATATAAAAAACAATATTCTTAAAAATTTAACTATCATTTTTTTTCTACCAAATGAAATTTTTAATCTAAGGGTTTCTAATAGATTAACTATGTAATAGTATAAATATAATGTTAATTCAAATAAAACCACAAAGCGCATAATTCATAATATTTTACTTTAAAAATTATTTACAAAACATAAATTCACATAAAATATAGTAGTTAAATATTTATTATTTATTACTATAAATAATACTACAAATATGATAGTTAAAAACTTGTTTTGAAAAATTCAAATGACTAATTTTAATGAAGGTAAAAATAATAATTCTTACTGTAATTTTTATAAAATAAAAATACCTTTTTTGGTCTTCATATTTTTGGAATTCTATGTGGTAAATTTATTGACTATTTCTGTATTCTAACTGAATGTAGAGTTTAAAAATCTAAAATTATTCATGCAGCGTTTAATAAATAAAAAAAATAAAAATAGGATACATAATGTGCATGATTGTCAAGTAACGAATAGTAGATCAACCATTCAGTTATTCATATAATTTATTAATTTTATTATTTAAAGAAATGTATTACAAAAAATTATTAGAAATTACACAGTAACCAACATGCGAGTTTCTCAAATATGTTACCCTAAAAGATAAGAGATGATTATAAATAATATCATTATACTCAAATTTATAGACATTTGATAAAGTTTGATTAAAGCTCTAAGATTTTAAACATTTTACTTTTCAAAATTTTTAATTCGACCAAATTATATAAAATTATTATACATTTCATATTGGTTAAAAATATTGTTTTATCATATTTCTAAAAAATTGGTTGTATCATTATAGACAGAAATTTTACATTTTAGAAAACATTTAAATTTATAAGTCAGACATAGATACATAAACTAGTGTTCTTTATTACACGGATGTGCAATTAATTTAAAAGATTTATAAAAGAGAACATTTTTTGAAATAGCTTACGCTTGACTTTACGAGTGTGAAGCTACTAATTTCTGATCCATCAACTTCTTATCACTAGCATATTTCTGTTACCCTTCACTTACTTCGTTCACGATAAACACATCGTGTGGCTGTTGAAATTATCAGCCAGATGAATTAAATGTGTTTTCTTTGTTTTTTACACTCCATTATTACACATGGGGTGTTTCCATTCAAGAATAGTCAATTGATTTAAAATCAAGTATTCCGAAGGAAAAAAGATTAATGGACTTAAAGTTAATCTGTGATATTTACATTTCATGAATTTGTAGATAAAACTAATGTAAATAAGTAAGAGGATTATTTTTTTTTACATTCGTATTTAAAAGCCTATGCTTCTGCAGATTTAATCATTTTAAGTATTACTGATACGAAAGCAATTTTTGTAAAAAGGTGGTTAACAATCTCCCGTTTCCCCTACTAAATTTTTGAAGTATTTCACTTAACTTGAAAAATTTTTTGCACCTGTTTTATAAATTAAATTAATAACTTTCATAGAATAATAATGATAAATAACCTATAACATATTATGTACATCAACGCTAGCCACTTGATTTCTATAAAAATAATATTTATGTAAAGAAAATTATCTCTGGTAATTTTTACATATATTTCTCGATTTACTAATTACTTTTTTAATTATTATTTATACCTTATAAGGGCGTTCACTTTATTTTTAAAAATTGAAACGTACATATTTACCAAACATATAATATAAAAAATTGATCTAATTAAGACATTAACAGCATTTGGACCACTACACCAAAAGTAATTAACAGTTTTAATATTTGATTGGGAAAAGAAATATTTGGTCGAGAAATATCTAATTAAAACAATACTTGGTCTCACCGCCATTATTTTTTTTTTTAATTATTGAAAAAAAGTGTCAAAGGTCTTATCAACTAGTATTTTTCTTAATTAGATCACTTTTTATAATTATCCGACCCCAATAGTCACTGGGATACCTGGAAAGTTTTAGGGTAGCCGGTTATCTCTAGGCTGATAATTATAACTATGATATTGAACATTATAGTTTTAGTTATTCGATGACCTCTGATTTTTTTTTACTTTTAATAGCCATTAAGTATATCAGAAAATTAATTAATTCATTTTATGGCTTTTATAATTATTGCCGTACCTAATTTTTCTGACAATCTACCGCTAGTTGTTATTTTTTTGTCTTGAAATTCAATAACAATTTTGTAGTCTCTGATTAAAAGATTTTAGGTCAAACAGAGTTTTTTTATATTCATTACAAGATTTGCTTAAAAGAAGTAGTTTCTAGGTCGTTAAAAAACTATTAAATATGTATTAACAATAATATTTAAAATTTTTAAAATTATAGTTAACATATGAATGAACATTTTGTGTTTTTTTTTACCACGCCTACTCATTTATGCTAATATTTTATTCTGTATAAAATTTTCTCCCAAATTTTTTATAAATTATAATTGAAAATAATTTAAATAAAATACAAATTTTATATTTTTTTATTAATTCAACGTTAGAAATGTTGTATATTAAATTTAAAAATAAATGCTGTTCATTTTTCATTAATTCTTCCGCTTTAATTACGAAACCATCTCCCTGTGCTTTCAAACATTATTGAAGAAGGAATTCGTACTGGAATGAAACCATGATCTTTCATAAAATTATCTTTGGTATTTATCGTTTCGCGTCCGTTGAAGTTTAAGTGTGTTGACTCCATATTTTGACGATGACTAAATGGATACATAGATTTTGATGGTATTCCATAATAAGCTATCTCATCATGTACACCCTTTTGACGATCACTCTGTTTACGCGAAAAATTCGCTTTCACATACCAACCAGTTCTAGTGGAAATCAGCTCCAAGATAAATATTGTAGCAGCTATTGAGAAGCCACAAACTACTACTGAATATGTAGTAAATAAGTCCGAGTTGCGGAGTTGTCGCTCTTTACTGCCCAAGTTTAGTGGACAAATTACCGCTTCCGGTAGGTCTTTAGTTTGCAGGTGTTTTATTATCCCTGACTCCATATAAGATAGCATTCTATTTAATAGAGACAATCAATATAGAAATTAAAATAATTAAAAATTAATTTTGGAAATATGAGAAAAATATTAAGAAGTATTGATATTATGTTTATAGATATATCCATAAAAAGCAAATCGCAATTGAGAAAAATCGAGTAAAATACTCACATTGGATTGAACAAAGGTGGTAAAATGCTATTTTTAGGGTAAATAAATGATAATGATCTGGTTAAATACGAATCAGTCGTCAATACATAACGGCATCGATTTTTGTCCTCCGTAATTGCCCGTTCAATATTCAACATTAAAAAATTAAGCCAATTTTTATCGTGCAATAACAGTTTGCCTAACAAAATAACTTATTTAAACAAAATCGTAATTTAAAATTATACTAATATGAATAAACATATTTATTATATGAATTACCCGATGAAATAAAATCCATTACGTTTTTCAATTGCATATCCTCTACAAATATTCCATTACCATCGCGCATTGAATTTTTTAACGCCATTAAATCGATATCTTCTTTAACAGAATATTCTATTGCACTGCCTTCTGCGGCAACCCATTGATATTTACCATTAGCTATATCGTCTACTGTTTGAATAGGTAAAGTAAACTTGGAGAGTGTTAGGAAAGCCGTCAAATTAGCCGTATAAAATGAGGTAAGTATCATTATAAAAATCCACCATGTAGCGAATATCAATCTGACAGAATCTAGAATTTAAAAAATACTTTAAAAAATCATTTTTAATATTTAAAACTTATTGAGGCAATAAGATATTTTGTTGAGGATCTAGGATTGTAGGAGCATGTCAATTTTTTTACTCATCAGGAAATCAAAATATAATTTCCATTTACCATTAATGCTAATGAAAAAATGTTATATCTTTTTAAAACAAATACGACTTTATATATAACTAATGGTATAACTATAACTCATTTTCACATTAACTCTATGTATTGGTTAAAATAAACTAATAATCCAAAAATCCTAATTTGGGCTTATACGTTTTTTTAATTCTAAACCCTCGTTATGTATTTTTGATACCACTATTCATGGTTGTCATAAAATATGTTTTCAAGTATAGTTTTATACATATTTATATAAGTGTCACCATTTTAACATAACTTTTAGCTAACCTTGATATTCAACTGTGCGTTATACTCAGTAATAAGTAGTCAAATTAAGTTCGTGGGGAAAGTTATTATTAATTTTTGAAAATCTCATCCTAGTAGTAAATCAATAGATGAAATGTTTATTAAAATACTGAAATTGTATAAGAAACTTAACAAAATACCTGTATCTGGATTTAAAGATGATCCTTGTTTCATTAAAGCTCCATATACAAACCAAACACAAGTGGGTATAGGATAAACAATTGATTCATGACCACAAAGTTTATGCCTTAGCCACATGATACCGAAGATAATTGGACCCACAGCAAATAACGATATTAATATCAGTAACCATACCTATACCATTAACTTTTATGTAATAACATTTATTAGAAATACTTATTTAACAGTCTTAAATAAATTACTTTTAAAAAATAATAAATGTACAATTACTTGTCACAACTACCAAAAATTGATTTGAGACACTCAAAGATAAAGCGGTTATAGTTATCAACAATATAACATCTAGAATATACCAAAATTTCTCTATACAAATTACATTGATAAATCAAGAAAAATAAAGTTAATCGGACACATCATCCGAAACAATGACTTTATAATCAACATTTTCGAAGGAAAAATAACTGGGAAGAAACTAAGAGGACGCCCAAAGAAACAATATTTTGAAAATATTCTGGAACTCATGAACTGTGCGTCTTTTGTTTCACAGGAAAATTTGGCGACAAATAAAGAGGAGCGGCTTCAATGATAAGGTATTGCCTTTAACAAAAATGATGATAATCTAAATAAAGAATAATTATCAAATATTAAGTTTAATTATCTCGGAATCAATTTTCCATCAGATTAATCCCTTCAGCTTTGAATACCAAATTTAATTACAAATCTGTTGCTTATTTTTAAATATAATAATATTACTTAATCAAAAAAATACAATGAGTTACTTTTCAAGTTACTATATATAACTTGAAAAAAGGTCATTGTCATATTTTCTTTAAACTTTAAATTTCACATAGGTAAGACTTAAAAGTTTTTATTTACCACAATTGTGGCAAATAAAAATGAAAATATTTTATAGTTTACAGATTTTCTTAAACATTTGTGTCAGTTTAGTTTCTTATATAAACAAAATATTACATCGGATTCAAAAGGAGCTAGTAAACCGGAACCAGTAGCACTTTCTTTAGGTCTTTTCATAAGTACAACATATCGAAATTGTGTTAAATCGATTCCCCATTGAATTTCATGATCTAATCCAGGCAATGTTGGTATGAATGCTGCTGCCATATCCACATTCTAAATCAATAACATAAAATAACATTTTGTTTTATTTTTTACATCAATAACATTTTTTTAATTTTTAGTATCATTATTGGCACAACTTAGGCTAACGATAATGCCATTGTAGGAATTTGATGAAATTAGAATAAGAAACCCTCCAATAATTGTTATTCATGTTTTCTTTTTTTATTGTTTACAAAATATTTTCTTTTTTCAAAAATTAATGAATACTATTTAAGAGAAAAAAAAATAGGTTTTTATGATTATGATTTTTTTTTTAAATCTTTATTATTATTATAAAAACGTTGATGAAACAAATCTAACAAAACACAAATATTTTTTTTAAATTTATTTTTTCATTTTTAAACTCATTTTATTGTCACCTTAAGGTATTATTATTTATTTTATCTTATTTTGGTTTTATCAATAGACATTTAAATAAAATAACATACGAATTGTATGTAATATACTTAGACTAATAATTGCATTCGGGTAATTTCAGATTTTATGATTTAAATAAATATAGTTTAAAAAAACTAAAAGACACGCTTTTAAAGCACATTGAATTAAAAATTATTTTTCACTTTTTAGTTTCATGTTATTATAGTAGTTACTATCAATATCATGGTTGTAACGGGTAACGGGAAATCAGGGTTCGATTCCGGGGAGGGAGTCTGAGAAACGGCTACCACATCCAAGGAAAGCAGCAGGCGCGTAAATTACCCACTCCGGGAACATGGTGGTAGTGACGAAAAATGACGATACGGGAATCATCCTTTGTAATCGGAATGAATACACTCTATATACTTTAATGAGAATAAAGCGTGTTAATATATACTTTTAATAGTAATTACAATATATATATACATGTAAAGCGACTTAACTACGTAAACGTATCATGCACAGGGTATAGCCGTGTTTTGTGGGCAGACGGAACGTTATACATAAGGTATAAACGGCGGCAGCGGCGGTAGGAATATATAAATATATACAATAAATAATAAATATATATTGTTCTCATTGTTACAAACAATGAGAACAATAGAAACCCGTTTCCTGACTTACTGAACACTCTGTATACGTAAGGCGCATTACATGGTATTGGTCAGTCAAAATAAAAATTTGTTTATACAATAGAACTCCAATTATCCGAATTAATGGGGACCGGGACCCATTCGGATAATCAAATATTCGGATAATCGGAGTTTTTTTTTTAAAAAATTGCCATTGGAGAGAAAAAAGTTTTTTTACGTTTTTAAATGCTCTTAGATTTTTTGATTTACCTATCAAAAGAAGTGGTAGTTTATGATTTCCAGTGGAGTTGGCACAGTTAAGCACTGTAACACATTCTTTACTGACCTTATGTCCAGGGGCACTAGATTCCCTTTTAGAAGCCAAAGTGGTTTTTGGTAATGCTTTCCAAACAAGGCCAGTTTCATCGGCATTATAAACAAACTCCGGATCATAGGATTCTGCTGCAGTTTTAAATTTTTCAATAAAATTTTCAGCAGCTGCAGAGTCTGCTGAAAGCTTCTCACCAGCCAAATCTAACTCGCGTACACCATGCCTGAATTTAAAGTTCCTTAGCCAGCCGTTACTAGCCTTAAAAGATGAATAACCAAGCTTTTCTGCTAAGATTTTGGCTTTTTCACAAAGGATTGGACCTGAAATCGGATTTCCCATAGAACGTTGCTGCAAAAACCATTTAAACACGGCATCTTCCAAATTTTTGTTGGTTGCTGTCTTCATTGTTTTCCTGGAGGAACTTCCATCTTCATTTTCAAGCACCGAAACAAAGTTTAAAAGTGTTGACTTACTGTTTTTAATGTCACAAATTGTTGCTTGTCCAACACCATAAATCTCAGACAACTTCTTACCCGTTACACCTTTATCGAGTTGCTCTATAATTTTCAGTTTGTCCGCTAACGATAGCACAACACGTTTTCTTTTCGAAGCCATGGTAAAAAACAATACAGTACACGCACAAACAAAAGTAAGCCGTAGCGAAAGAGTAGCGTTCTCGAGCAAGGTCAATTTAGCACACTGACTAATCAAAACAAACAATGACAGGTGACTGCAATGCGCCGGAACTGGAGTGGGAACTCTTACCACGTGTTGTGCCTACACAGACGCTGCGGACTTTGGACAAATTTTTTTCTGATTTTTTCTGAAAGTGATTCGGATAATCGGCGATTCGGATGGTCGGAGTTCGGATAATTGGAGTTCTACTGTATATATAAAATTAATGTCACGCACGCTTGTACGGGTACGAAAACCAAAAATATAAAATTATACAGGATTAGTGTTGTCGGCGATTGGTGAGCGGGGTGGGGTGAATGCGTTACGACGTCTAGTCTATAATAATAACATGTGCCGCGTGGAAAGTTACTAACACACAACACACATCACACATACAAGTGAAACTAATATAAGCGTGTTAATTAAGTATAGCTAAAGGTTGAAGAAGTTATAACTGATAAATATAATGTTAAGAGGGGGCATGTTGTGTCGCGGTGGTCACACTAATTGTTGAAAAAACTCTAGTGCTTAGCCGCGCCTACCGCCATAGGTGAACGGATGGGGGTGACCATATTTAATAAAATATGAAAAAGAGTACATTTTCGAAATTAAAATTAATTTTATAATACACTTGAAAATAATCAATTTATAAAATTAAGTATAAAATGTTTAAAACAATAGTCAATTTCTTACAAAATTTATATCTAATTAAAACATGTAGTAGTAAAATATTACAGAAAATCTTATAAAAAAATTTCTGAAAATCTGAAATTTTATATTAATTATTAACAAAGTTAGATTAGAATAAATCATACTCTTACCACTAGGTAGTATATTTTAATTAATAATTACAAAAATAATCTTACTATGTGTCTTGCTCAGTATTTTAGTTTTGAAGAAATTCTGGTGACCAGTATTACTCCATGATCGGTATTTCACCAGTCTAGCTGATTTTACGGATTTACCAAATTACTTTCACGGAAAGGTAATAAATTTATTGACTATTTAATTGAAAGTACTGTTAAATTTACTAAATAAAATAGTACCTGTAGTATAATTGTGATTTAAACACTTTTATTTTTACTGAATAGACTACTAGTCATTTGTTTTGTAATTATACCACTGAGTATTTTTATTTGATCAAGATATTTTTTTTATTGTTTATACTTCATTCATTTTTTAAATATAAAAGTTAAAAATATGTAAATATTAATTATTTTGTTTTTTATTATTGTTTAAGTTTTCTAAAACGAACGTTTTAAACACGATTTTTTTTTAACAATTATGTTTTTAAGAAATTTGAGTGATGTTTATGCTTATTACTTCATACGTATAATATAAAAAATTAACAAACATGTATAAAAATTCATAATTTTTTACTCTATTTACCCCGTTAATCACCATTTGAATAATACTTCCATTCTCATTCAATAATGTTTTTCTGATAGGCTTCACAACATCGAATGTGAATCCATACCTTTGACGAAGTGTTTCTACTATTTCAAATGCTATACCATGACCTATAAGAGTACCATTAGGTTCAGTAGTCACCCAACTAAGTGGGTCCATATCCTATACTAACAAAAGTGCATAAAATATAAGTACAAACACAATATATAAATAAATTTATTTATTCCTAAGCTCAAAACCAGATTAAGAAAAATATAATTAAGAATCTCTTCAGGTAATGAAGACTTATTGATCGCCATCTGCTCGGTAATTATTTTTGTTAACACTCGTTAATTTTATTAATTGTTGCTTATAGTATCGATTGTAAATAATACCAAAATCAAAAAAATGTAATATTATGTTATTTATAATATTAGGATGCTATAAATTTATAATATACAACTTTTATGATAAAAACAGGATTCCCTACTTTAAACCATAAAATATCCAGTAAACTAGGAAATTAAATCTGATTATTGTACAGATTTAAAGTAACGCTAATATGTAGGTTCTCCATGAAGTCCAGCAATCGCATTTAACAATTAATTAAGATCTACAGCTTCCAAGATCACACTAGAAATTGCTACACTACCCTCATGTGACTTTAAAAACCCATATTTTCCTAATAAAATCAGTTCTTTCGGTAATTTCAAAATACACAAAATCTGTGCCACTCTGCTCAAGATTCTTACTTTCTGGGATTTAGTTTTTTTAAATTTAATTTGTACTTTGTAATAGGTTGGGTTTGAACGAAAGAAAATGCATTCAATTTACGTTATTTAATCTTTAATATAGTTTCTGAGAGTATATAGATAAAAATATAATAAATTACAGTTAAACATTAAATTTAGACAACCATCAAATATGTATTTTTAAGTTTCCACGATAAATGAAGGATTAGCATTTCAATTAGGTTGTTCGTCCATCTGAAAACTCTACCGATCACATAATTATGCAATGGCTTAGGTAAAATATGACATACTGTCTGTATAATACAGTCGATTAATATTATTATTAATCAATGCAAAAATTACAACACTATTGAAAATAAAAAATGACATCATTTTCCTAAATTGTTCGAACCTTTCGATTTCTATTCTCTTAACTTAATAAGGCACCGTGTTCTGTTCTAAAACGGACAATCATTTGCTTCTCTCTCATTATCAGCCGATTAATTATTGATAACATATAATTAATTAATTAGTTGATTAATTATATTAATTGATTATATATTATATTATATTGACTGATATTAAATTATTGATAACCGATGGTGATCCCATTTACAAGGAGTCTAAAGTCCACTCAGCGTCGACTGTCTGTCACTATCTAAGCATTGACTCGTTTTTAACAAAATTTTTCTTCGGATTTTCAAGAAAATCAATTCATCATCCTCCTAATTAATTATTGAAAATACAACTGCTCCATCCTTTTAATTTTTCATTACTATCTGCTACCATTATACTTATGTCAAAATTAAATATTAATTAATAATATTGAAGACAATGCATAAATATTTAATTTTAAAATCAATAAAATCTTAATTGACTATAAATCATGATAACAGTAAAATATAAAAATGTGAGTGTTGGAACAAAAAGAGTATAATCAATTTTTTAATAAAATGAGTTAGACTTGAAATCAATATTTCAAATTGAACATTTTATTTTGTATCAATGATAACAATAAAATTATAATATAAAATCATATAATTGTATTTTCAATATATACATTTATATTAGTTCTTATAAAATTAAAATATTTCAAATGAATTTTCTGGAAAATGATTAAAAATGACTAACACATATTTCCTTTCAATATTTAAAAAAAAACTCTAATTTTTGAAAAAAAAATTATTTCAATAATTTACCGCAAACGTAGCAATTTTCAAGCGTTTTCCTCGTAATATTTCATTTCGGATTTGTAAATTATTTTTCAATTCACATCGATACTCTTTATTATTCAATAATTTAGCTACTTTCCCAGGAACTATAAAAATAGTATATACTTTTATTATATTTTTTGGGATTAGAAAAACAAAAATTTCTATTTCAGCTTTATTTTAAAAAATTACATCAACTATTATGGCAAAAATTTTATTAAAGGTAATTTTTTGTTTGTTTGAAAAAATTACCTCTTCCCTCATATATTTATGAAGGATATTTTATGTAATGAATAACAAATACTTTGTATAAATGAATTGATGTATTGAAGGTATTCTAAATTTCCACAAACATCGATTTATCACAAAGCTCTGAATATTTTTGGATAGTTAAAATTAAACATAAAATATAAATTAAAATTTTGTAATTCACTATAATTTTTAGTTTGATCAAAGATATCAGAGTACTTTTTATCATACGATTCATTTTAACTTGACGAATAACGGCAAATTTACAAAAAACATTAGTCAGCTAAATCTTGTAATTACACTAATATGATATCTTTAAATTTAAGTTTATATATATACTTTAAGAACATTATAAGTCGTAAATTAATTAAGACTCACTCCATTTCCAAGGTGGAGGTTCAGTAGTGAAATAAGATATATTTGATGGTGGCCAATTAGCACATAATGATAGCAGTAATGCACTGGTCAACGTCATAAAATTAGTTTATTTAACAAAGGTTATAAGAAGTTTATGCGTTGGGACACTTTTACATATTGTCTTTAATTTAAAAACAGAGAAATCGATGTATAAAAACCAACACGGTTTACACTGTGGTGACCTGTCAAAATTGTCCCAAAATGTTTGAATAAATGATTACACTTGATAGGTGTTTATTTAATAATAACACGGTATTTTTGGACAACAATGGATTTTAGTATAATGAAGTACACTTATAAAATATTCATAAAATCACTTAGTGTATTGGGTCATCAAAATCATTTTGGAGGTCCACAATTGTTGATTGTGTTAATTTTAATAATATTAGGAAAAATATTGTAAAAAATTTAGAGATTAAAAATATATATACTTTAATTAAAATAAACAAAATAAAACCAACATAATAAAAAATATTTGAAAAAATTAGGGAATCTCTGATCTGTTGGCGTTGATGATGAAAACATCGTAATCAAAATTCGAATTACTTCGCAAGATGTCCTCATTTTAATAACTAAGCAGGAGAAGACTTGTGACCGAGAATTGCCTCATGATAAAAATAGTAACATTTATATCCGATCTATATTTTAAAATGATAATTGCTTCTAAAGATGTGATCAAAAAGTTATAAAAATGACCAGTTATTTATTTAATTTAGATAATTTTCTATTTTATAATCTAGTTGTCCTTTAAATAAAATAATTTGCCCCTCCTAGAAGTTATAGGGGATGATTATGAAAATTAATAAATAACTGATAAATCAAGAAATTTATAAAACTAAAATGAACCAAATGTTTTAGCTTCGATGCGAAGCTGAGAAAAGATTAATATTACTATGATGTGTTTATTTTATTATTCTTTTTTAGCTTCTATGCGAAGCTGAGAAGGTATTAGTTTTACTAAGATGTGTTTTTTTTTTTTTTGTGTCTGTTACCACTTTTTCTCAGCTCTCACCGAACCGATTTCTTTCAATGATACACAAAGATCACAAATCGTATCTAGTCGAAGACATTACCCTCAAAAATTGAAAAAAATTCCCTTGTTCCCCGTAAATGGGGGAAACCTCCGAAAAAATTACAAATTTAAAATTTGCTAATTATCGAAATTTTTTCATTTTTTTTTACTTAAAACTGCCGTAACTTTTTTAAAAATAAACATACCCATATAATTCTTTTTTTTATAGATGCATGATGTCATTACCTATCATTTGGTATATTTTTTTTATAAATTTGACTTTTTACCTGCCCACAGGGGGGGATTTAAAATGACAACTTTTTTACAAAAAATTAATTTTTTCAACTTAACTTTTGAAAGTGTTCCGAAAGGTCTGACACTTTTATATATATCTTTAATTAAAGCTAATGTAATATACTTTATCGTGAAAAAAAAAAATATCGGACTTTATTTTATCTTCAGGGTGAAAATGGCTACCAAATGCTATTTTTGTGTGAAAATTTTCGATTTTGTATTTCACATTTTTAACTTTATTATGCTATAACTTTTTGAAAAATGTATGGATCATTACAATTTTTTTATGAGAAGTAGTATTTATATAGATCTTTCATTCGACATACTTTTTTTTTTAAATCGGACCATTTCCCTTAATACAGGGGGGATTCAAAACATAAAAATGCATATAGAAAGTAGAACTTTTTCAACTTAACTTTTGAAAGTGTTCCGGAAGGTCTGACACTTTTATATATATCTTAAATTAAAGCTNTTCACAAAAAATTAATTTTTTTAACTTAAATTTTGAAAATGTTCCGGAAGGTCTGACACTCATATATATATATATATATCTTAAATTAAAGTTAATGTAATATAATTTATAATGGTAAAAAAAAATTTCGGACTTTATTTTATCTTCATGGTGAAAACAGACATTAAACTTAATAAAAAAAATACGATTTTTGTAAAAAAATTCTTTTTTATATTTTTAACTTTATAATGCTATAACTTCTCGAAAGATGTATGGATCAATATAATTCTTTTTTTTGTAGATGCATGATGTCTTTACCTATCATTTGGTATATTTTTTTTATAAATCTGACTTTTTACCTGCCTACAGGGGGGGATTCAAAATGACAACTTTTTCACCATAAATTTACTTTTTCAACTTAAATTTTTAAAGTGTTCCAGAAAGTCTGACACTTTTCTATATATATTAAATTAGAGCTAATGTAATATACTTTATTATGGTAAAAAAAAATTTCGTACTTTATTTTGTCTTCAGGGTGAAATTGGCTACCAAATGCTATTATTGTGTGAAAATTCTCAATTTTATTTTTTACATTTTTAACTTTATAATGCTATAACTTATTGAAAAGTGTATTGATCAATATAATTTTTTTATGGGAAATACTATTTTCTAATAATCTCTTTTTTATTCGACATACTTTGTCTTAATCAGGATATTAATAAGGAACTAGCAGTTTATGAAGCTTTTGGAATAATCCACCAATTTTTTAAAATTAAACACTATCTAAAGATTTGCATCGAAGCGTTTTTTTTTGATAGTGATTTTAATCACTGTCAGATATCATTATACTTGATCCAACTATGCCACGTCACCACTGTGCCGCGACCCCCCTGTGCTGGGTTTTTTGTGTCTGACACTATTTTTTCTCAGCTTTCACTAGACTGATTTTTAAAAATGGTAATTTTGACATTTTTTTTCTTTAAATAACTTATTGCAAAATGAATGAATCAAAATAATTATTTTTTATATTAAAATCTTAGATAGTTCCATTTTATTTTATATAAATGTTTTGATAATCTAAATTTATCTACCCACAGGGTGGATTCAAAATAGAAAATTTTTAGAAAACTTTTAGTTAGTTTTTATAAAAACTAAGCTTTTTTACTTAATTTTTGAAATATTCCGAGCTTTAAATATATGTCAAATTGAAGATATTGTTACGTATAATGAATTAAAAAAAAAATTTGTCACGAAGACTTATCTTCTACGTGCAAACGGTTGCCGTAGTTCTAAATACATTATATATACTTCTTTCATTTGATATACTTTTTATATAAATTGGACATATTACATTTATACAAGGGGCGTTCAAAACTTGAAACATACGTATAAAAAGTGGAACTTTTTCAACTTAACTTTTGAAAATGTTCCGAAAATACTGCGTTCTTTAAACATATGTCAAATTAAAGCTTATGTTATGAACTAATAATTAAAAAAAAAAATTGTTCCGACGACTTATCTTTTACTTGCAAATGGCTGCCGTAGTTAAAAAACATGCTATTTTTGTGTTTAATATTTTTTTATTTATTTTAAAATACTTATATAAGTCGTAGTAATTAGTCCATCAATTTTTATAAAATTTACATGAATCTAACTTAGATTAAATATAAATTTAAACTTGTTTTGATTATTTTATCTCCTCAAAGTGAAGAAAAGTGACTTTAAATTTTTGAACTAGCTTAAATAGCTCAAAGTTCTTTTTATAAAAAATAATTTATTACGATCACAGTGGTTGCATTATTAACTATACAATCTTATAAGTTTAGGGTACAAAGTTCGAACCCCGACAGTCAAAATAACTTATTTTGCATTTTTTCTTAATTTCTTTTTTTTGAGGTGGAAAATAAAATTTAACACTAAAAATTGAATAATAAAAATATATTTTTGACATTGTTGAGATTTATTTGTAGACCATTTATTTACAATTAACCACAAATTATTTTCGAACATTTTTGTATCAAGCCCTTTAATTTTTATACACGTTTGCCCTAAAAGTAATAACTACTTTATAATTTTTTATAAATTCCACGAAAAAATTACTATACTAAATTATTAAATATCAATCTAATGCTAATTTAATTGCTATTGTAAATATTTATTCATTATTATACTTCTAAGTCAAAAAACTACTAATCAGGAATAATGAAGGAAATAAAAGTTTCTTAAACTCTTATAAATTTTAAAATTAAACACTATCTACAGATTTGCATTGAAGTGTTTCTCATGATAGTGATTTTAATCACTGTCAGATATCATATATACTTGTCCCAACTATGGTACGTGTAATATTATATTATCACTTATAATATTAACATATATTATGATGTTATCGTTTGTGCATGTATTATGAATATACAAGATCACCAAAACAGGGTTCCCTTATTGAAAATACAAAATAACTAGCTAATTATGGGATAAAATCTACTTATTGTAGAGATTTTTAAGTAACGCCTATACGCAGGTCTCCTATTATAATTAAACAATTAAAATAGTTTCTTTCAAGATCACGCTAGGGATCGCTAGATTATTCCCTCAGGACTATAAAAAGCCATTCCCCCCCGTCAAAACCAGTTCTTTCGGTAATTTTAAAATCTACGACGTTCCACTTAAGATTTCACTCTCCGCGACTTAATCGTTTTTCAGCTTCGATGCAAAGCTGAGAAGGTATTGGTTTTACTAAGATGTGTTTTTTTTTTTGTGTCTGTTACCACTTTTCTCAACTCTCACCGAACTGATTTCTTTCAACAATACGTCAAAAGATCACAAATCGTATGTAGTCAAAGAAATTACCCTTAAAAGTTGAAAAAATTTTCCTTGTTCTCCGTAAATGAGGGAAACATCCAAAAAAATTACAAATTTAAAAATCGCTAATTTTCGAAATTTTTTCAATTTTTTTTACTAAAAACTGCCGTAACATTTTCAAAAATAAACATATCAATATAATTTTTTTTTTATAGATGCTTGATATCTTTGCCTATCATTTGGTATATTTTTTTGTAAATCTGACACATAACCTGCACACAGGGGGGGATTTAAAATGACAACTTTTTCACTAAAAATTTTTCGCATAGATATAAATATTTTTGAATCTTGTTTTGGCCAGACCAGAGAAAGATTTAAGAAATATTGGTTTCGATCTATCAATAAAATATACTCTCTCAGAAGAAAATACTTATTCAACAAACATAAAAAAATTAAATAAGGACAAATTATAAATTATATTTATGATAAAATATAGAGTGTTTAGAATCTTATACATGTAAAATCAGTCATAGATTT